TTGGAAGGGACTTTCAAAACTCATCTCGTCCAACCACCCTGCAGTGAGCAGGGACATCTTCGGTTAGATCATGCTGCACAGAAGCACGTGCGGCCTAGCCTTGAATGTCTCCAGGGATGGCACATCCACCACCTCTCTGAACAACCTGTTCTAGTATTTCACCACCCTTGTTGTAAAGCATTTTCTCCTCGCATCCAGCCTGAATCTCCCTCCTTTAGTTTAAAGCCATCACCCCTCGTCCTATCACAACAGGCCCTGCTGAAAAGTCTCTTCCCATCTTTCTTACAGGCCCCTTTTAAGAACTGAAAGGCCACAGTAAGGTCTCCCCAGAACCTTGTGTTCACCAGGCTGAACAACGCCAACTCTCTCAGCCTTTCCTCATAGGAGAGGTGCTCCATCCCTCTGATCATTTCTGTGGCCCTCTGGACCCTCTCCAATGAGCCATATTAAGCTTTGGCTGTTCAATCCACATGGTCTCCCAGGCCATGTACTCCGATTCAGAGTATTCTTGTGTAAAAGCTAAGTGCAACCACAGAAGACCAAAACCTGCAAGCCACTTGTAGGTAATTCTGGAGCAAGTTAAGGTGGATTTGGGATAGCAGCGCTGCACTGAGTGCTGCCCTTCTCTGAGTTCCCTTCTCGCTTCTGCATCCCAACCTCTTCTGCATGTGTGCAAGAGCAGAGCATGGCGGGGGCAGTGGCACAAAGGGATGAGGGGTGCCCATAACTGATTCCCTCCAGACTGTGCCAGGTGGGCCTGTTCCCCAGCAGCTGGGTGTCTCCTTGCTGAAACCTCATGTAAACACGGGCAGAAAAAGCTGTGCTAGACTGGCTTGTGATTTTTATGTGAAAGTTCAGGAAAATGTGATTTATTTATTTATTTATTTATTTTTTCTTGCTTGGAATGTGTGCGTATGTTTGTTTGGGGTTTTGGGTCGTCGTATAATAATTTAAACTGAACATCTGGCAGTTATTTAGGGGTTAATTGAGGGTTTTCATGTTGGATCCAAATAAAGTCATCTCTTCTCTGGCCCTCTGTAAAAGGGATAAAACCTCAGCCTTGAGGGGTTTGCTTTAGCAATGAGATACAAATGATAATTAACAAAAGCACCTTTAAAGATTATTTTAGTTTGTGCTCTTTTCTAAGTCTGAAGAAGACCATTTTAACTAATCAAGCCCTGTATACACAAACTCTTGCCTAGTTTCTTACTAGGTAGTTTTAGGTCTTCAGGATAATTTTTACAGGCTGCTGTTTAATTTTGCTGATTTGACCTCTGCTACTGTAACAAGAGAAATAGAAGGCACCTGCTTAATAACCTGGGTGCCTGAATAGCCTTGTTTGTAAGCATGTTAATGTAAGATATCCTTACTATATTACAACAGAGGCCCTCCTAGTAGTATTAAATCTGGTTGAAGTGCAACAAAGTAGGACCTAAATCAGTCTTGCAGAGTCAGCATCTGCCTTCCTGTGCAGCACTTTCTGTGATAGCATTTAACTTGTGAAAGATCTCCAATTGATCAGACTAATGGTATGGTCTTTGCAGAAATAAACTTGATTGGGGAGGATGGGTTTGATTTTTATTTTGTTCAAAATAATTGTTTGCAAGCATGATATTGGTCTTAATTCTTACTTAAAGTTTGTTTGTTGTATAGTAGTGAGAACAGTTGTTGTCACATGTATGACAGTGTTGGGAAATGAGAATGTTTCTAACACACGGAGTTAAAATATTTGTGTTTTTATTGTAATTACACAGTATCTGTGTTTGAAACAGAGGTGTGGGCCTGCATTCACACTCTTGAGCTCTGCATGTGCAAAACTACATACTAGTTTTGATGTTCCTGGTATGGGGAGTTACTAGAAGCAGCCTCAAACTTATTGCTGAACCGGCTGAGTCCGGCATGTGTATGGGTAGTTGGGAGAGGGTGAGGGGATGAATAGCTGCAATGGCAAAGCGTTTTAATATTTAAATCTAATTCTAGATCAGGTTCTGGTCTTAGAAAAGCTTCCTCGAGCTTATCTAAATTTGACCCAAGTCACTTAGAATGCAGCATCTCCAAGCAGCTTTTTTCCTAGTGAGCTAAACCTGCTGAAATGTCGCCATATTTATTGACTTTCTGTAAAAAAGAAGTTGGTAGCTGCAAGGACAGGCTGCTGACATAAAAAGCTTGTCTTGGATCGCGCGTTTGGCTGGAGGCCAGGTAATGAGTTATATAGGAGTTTGTTGGCAAGCTTAGGTTTTTGCTTAGGTTAATGTAATGTAACTGCAAGTAATATGGAAGCCTGGTACATCCCGAACAGTTTTTAGACAAAATGATCTTATCTTTTTTTTATGTAACAGCTTCTTGTACTTAGGACATTAAAAATGCCTTGGAACATGATTCTTTATTATTTTCTCTTTTAATGGTCAACCTACTGAATAATCCTTTAAAATATTGGCACTGATGTCATCTCTCTTTTGATAGCCTCTGTGTTAGAGTTTAAGCAGACTCTCTTCAGTGTAGTGATCTTTTAGTGCTTTAAAGAAAGGTTTGCATTTTTAAAAGGCCAGGTGGTAACACACTTAAGGTTAGGTACATCAGTTTTACTAGTGAAAAATATGATAAATGTATTCATGGGCACATTAGTTGGCCAGGTTATAATCTGTGACCTAGGCTGAAATGCCTGAACCATCCTAGGAGGAGGCTGGGACTTCGTGTTCCCAGTGTCCGACTCAGGCAGTTGTCCCACTGGGCCCTTTCACTGGCCTCCTGGGTGTTTCTTTCTTCAGTGCCTGAAGGCAAATCTTGAAGAGAAAGGGTGGAGATTGCTCTGTCTCAGGATGTTTTGTTGCCTCTCACTTATTTTGTATAAGTGAATATAAACCCACTCTAAGGGGAAAACTGAATTCAGGTCTTGAAATGTGCAGTGAAGTGCTGTATACGCCACACTATAAAAAGAGGTCCAAATCCACCCCTGGTCTTTGGGGAGCAGTAGATAAATGTGGCTGTAACTGGAGAACAGTGAGGCCTCCTGATGCTGCCCAGGGCAGCAATCCTTATCTGCAGCCTTGATTTGACTGTTTCACCCATAAGAGGGATGAAGGTGGCCTGGGGTGCATAGCTATCCTCCACTGGTAGGGGCTGATGAGTGCTGACCAGAAAAGGGATAGCACTCTACCACAGAATTATAGAATATCTTGGACTGAAGTGACCTTAAAGATCATCTTCCAACCCCCTGCCATGGGTAGGGACATCTCCCACTAGACCAGGTTGCTCAAAGCCCCGTCCAGCCTGGCCTTGAACACTGCCAGGGATGGGGCAGCCACAACTTTTCTGGGCAACCTGTGCCAGTGTATCACTACCCTCATAGTGAAGGTTTTTTTAGCATCCTTATTATTTCTTTGTGCAGCTGTATCATTAGCAGTGTAAGCACAAATGCCAAACAAACAACTTGTTTTATAACTACTTGTCTGTAGGTCTGACTTATGTGGTACGTAAGTCAAACTGATTGAACGCAGATGGAGATCTTTGAGATGGGAGGGAGTGTGATAAAGTTGTGCCAGTGCTTATCAGAGGTTTAAACTTCCCTGATAGCATTTGTTCTCTAGGTGCTATTAATAGTAGGGCCTAGAGATATTTCTGGATGTGATAGCTGACAAGTTTCTTCATCAAATAGTCAATGAATGAGGAAGAAGTGTTTCTATTTTAAACTTAGCTTTGACAAGTAATAGAACTTCAAACAAAAGTTGTTCATAGAAAATAACTTTGCTGTGAGTTACTGCAAGTGATTCTCTGTAAGTGAAAGATTAAACACATGACTGCAGCTTGAAGTGCCTCTGATAAAGGAAGAGTTTTTCTGGGGTTTTCTGCCAGCTACGCTATAGGGTATTTGTATTAGTTTCAGACTTCAGTGTTCAAGTGAAGGGTGGTAATAAACCTTGGCAGAGGTGCAAAGTCAGGCAGATTTTTGGGGGGAGTAATCTGGTTTGAACTTTGTGTGAGTAGTCACTGCCAAAGCGTTAGGGTAAGCAGAGAATCTGCAGGGAAAGACGAAGAGCTCTGTTGAAAAGCGGTTTGTGCTGGGAGGTGAGAATTGCTTCAACTGTCAAGGCTGTGGGAGCCAGTAGCAAAAGGCTCTTCTTGCTCTTTATTTATACTTCTGAAGTGACCCATGTCTAGCTCTGCCTTTGCTTTTTCATCTCACACCAGTGCCTGGGGTGATGTGCCATGAAGCTAAGCATGCTCTCTAATGAAGAGCGTAGCAGTGCTGACCATAGGGAAGCAAGGATAGTAACAAGTGCCTCAAAATAAATTCTTAGCACTGCAAAGGCCATTTGGGAGAACGTTGTGGCACCTTCAAAATGGAACACACTGAGCTGAGGAACAGGATGATACATGTAGAGCATTGAATTGGACGGATTTGGCGGGTCTTCTTTAAACCAGAACTTAACACAGTCTTGGAAAGCTACCATTACAATGAATTCATGTACAATAATTAGGCTTTCTTCTGTTGTCTCTTAACAGGCCAAATGGTTCTCCCAGTATGATTTATGATTCAGAATTTCAGTATTGCTCATGTCAAACACTGTCTCTGGAAGTGGAATGTCCTGGGCATTTCTCACTTCTCTGCATGCGATGACACCTACATGTTCTGCAGAAATACTGCTCTGCTGTTTCTCTTGCAGTGAAGTTTTGGCCATGCTAGTTTTACAGCAGTGTGAAAGCACCTCTAATAAAGTGATTCTCGTTTGCATCTTAAAGGGAGTAACAGAAAACTTGCAAAGCGTATACAAGATTATCAGCAGTGGTAACTTTAAGGATTTTGGCAGTGCATTTGAATGTGGCTTTTATGGTCAACTTCAACAATCTCTAGGTTTTGGTGGGAATTTCTGCATAGGTCTGTCTGTTGGCTTCCTTCAATAAACACTTGGTACTTTCTCTTTTTTAGCCTGAAGCAGTAGGGAGGTGAGATAGCATCCTTACTCTTTTCCTCCAATTTATTTTTTTCTGGGAATTTAAAGGTTGGTTGTGAAGCTGAGTAGATTTTCATGTCTTTGATTAGAAGCACCAGCAAGATGAAGAATGTGGATTTATAAGGTAAACCGTTTTTTGTTTCAGGTAACCTGTTAGGAGCTGACTTCCTAATCTTTCTTTGGCCTGCAGGTTGTTAGCTTTACACTTGCTTTAAAAATAGCCATGAGAAAGAGGCCATTTCCCTATTGCATGTGGGAAGATAGTAAATCATCAACTACTGAAAAACAAACCATGCATCTGTTGCACTGTGGAAAAAAAGTGCCCATTAAAAAGCTAAGATGCAGCATGTTTTCTCTCCAGTGGCAACAAAGCCCCTGAAAAGATGAAGTAGTTAGTGGTTAGAATGTGTGTGTTTAGGTATAGTGCAAACTTTCTAACATCCTCTTGATGCCTTGTTTCTTGTAGAGACTCGAACCGTCATGTTAAGGTAAAGCAGAAAAGTGCAGTGCTGAACATGCTAAAGAAGTTGGACAAAATAAGGTTCAGAGGTCACAAGAGAGATGAGTTCCTTGATTTGGCAGAGTCTCCAAATGCTTCTGACACTGAATGTGGAGATGAAATCCCGGTGAAAATACCTCGAACGTCAACTCGAGACAATGAAGAGCTGAGAGACCCTGTAAGTACTTGGTTTAAATGTTGTTATATTGTTATATAGCTGTCAAGCAGAAAAGATAACAGGAATTAATAATTCTTTGCCGCTATATTTTAGATTTAACATTTGCAGATTTGTGAACTAAGAAGCTTCTAGTAATAGGCTTCTGTTTTCTGGAAAGATCAATAAATTTCTTAGTATTAGGGTTCCCTGTCCCTGCTATTGATTTTAGATGTTGTGGGTTGACAGGTTTTGTTAAACTTGGACGTGCTTCTGAATGCTGTCTGGTTTGTGTTTTGTTGAATTCCTAATGAACACATCTGAAGGAAGGAGTTGTTTTCAGACTGAGGAACATAGATCTGCTCTAATGGCACTTGCCAAGTCTGCAGGGATAAGACTTCCGGTGGCTTCATTAGAGCTAGAGGGTCACACCACCTTGTTCTTCACTCGGTGTTATATCCAGTAATGCTTCCATGCTATGGAACTGGTTTAAACTTATGCAGGAGGTGCTAGATTTTTTTGGTGCTTGTAAGCAGAAGCACCCAAACAGAGTTACCTTTTAAAAACACCCTATTTCAAGTAAAGTTAAATATTGGGTAAAAAATAAGTAAATAAAATCCTGCTTCAACTGTTAAAACATGGCTGTGGATTCTTGAGCTCAGAGTGCTACAATCTAAATTAAGAGTTGTCCATGTAACTGTATTGTAGATTGTGACTTGGAAGTTAGAATTTGTACTGCCGTTCACTGTGCAGTTCTTATCCTCAAAATGGGGTCAGGTTGTTGTCTGAAAGCTCATTTCTAGAAGCACGGAGTTTGCTCACCAGAAGTTCTGAACTGAAAGACTACAAACTGTGTATGCTTAAGCATCCCCTTTGGGGTTGGCAGCTTGGATCCTGTTCTGTAGCTATGAGGATTTTTAAATTTAAGTGTGCTTGTATAATACCATGTACAATCCTGCTTATATGGACCTTTTTTGTGGGAATTTTTCTTTCCCTGTGGTCATGGAACAAACAAGTGATAATGACAGCACTTTTCATTCGCAAAAAGTCTATTGTATGCAAATTGTCAAGCTCCTTGGCCGAGGAAGTCTGTTGTATGCCTTTCCTCTGCTCTTCTGAAGACATCTGCCATTTGTTAAGATGTACAGACTGTGTATGCTGGGACTAATCTGTGCTGCTGCCCTTGCAACATGGTATTTTCTGAAGTTTTTCTGTGGGTAAATACTGGCTTGTTTTCATTAAACCGAAGTCATTATGTGTGGAGAGCACACATAAATATCTGTCGATCATTCCATCTGTACCATTGTGTCCAATCAGAAGGATCTGGATCGCAGACCAAGAGGCTACGAAAAGATCTGTCTTGAACCCTAGATACTGTTTTCTTTATTTCTTCAAAAGGATAGTAGCTCCAGGATGGTATGGCTGAGGGGACAGTTTTGACTAGTTATGAAGCTTTATGGCTGCATATCTGAGGTGATGGTCCCTGTTTTCTCAAATTGCTGCCTGCCTAGGGCAAGAAGGGAGAAGAGATAATCCCTTATGCTGCAGAGGTGGCAGGAGTAAAGAAAGTAATGCTTGTATATTTCATATTAAAACAGTGGCTGAGGTTCTATGAACAGGGCAATTCTGAATTATGTCTATTATTGAGATCACATAGTTGAATTGTGCCTGAATTGCTTTTAATTCAGTGACTAAAACTGAAACCTTAAATTGCTTATACAGGGTTGTTTTCTCTCCAAGCATCTTAGTATTACTCTTCTAGTACACTGATCATGAGAAGACCAGGTCTTGATATCTTCCTGTTTAATACCTTAGGGAAACTGTTGAAAGCATAAAAAAGTCAGTGCAAGTCTTGTGCATGAATTGAAGATATGCTGCTTGTCCTTTCAGACAGATAGGAGCTGTACTGTGCTTCCACTTCTGTTGCTTCACTGATTCTATTAAAATCTGAGTACAGAGCTCATGGGCTTCAAAGAGCAAGATTGGTGGCTTGGAACTGATCATAGGCATACAAAATTTGAGTGCTGGCCCCCTTATCTTCAGTATGTAGATATCTGACTCCACTGTCAGCCATTCCCTTGACAAAGGCTTCATCTCTGCCCCTCTCTACTTCTCCCCCCCCCTCCCCCCCCCCTTCAGTCTGGTGTATTATTCATTACAGAGCCATTAAGGAAAGATCTCCATCTATTAGAACAGTACAGCAGTGTCGTGAATGAAAGGCCCTTCTGTACTGTGCTGCATGAGTACATAGTGAACTTAGAAATGTGCACATTAGGTGCCTCTTCTTCATGTCTGTGTCTGAACTTGACAAGCGTATGCAAAAACTTGCTACAAATGGAGGTTTTAGAAGAAAAAGCCTTGTCATAAGGCTTGTGATTGCAGAGCCCTGCAAAGAGCATCATTCTTTGCTGTGCACCTCCAGCAGTGCACATTCAGTCCTGGGCCACAGATACAGCAGTGGGACTTTTTCCCAGCACTTCATATGTCTTGCTGAAGCAGCAGGTGCAAAGTTTACACACAGTGGAAGGACAGAAAGGACGTCCGGATGAGGTCATCTTGTATTCTTTACCTTGAAATCATGAGCTTTACCTGTTTAGTTCAATAATATGCATCCTGACTCGTGTTTGAGTAAAGCACATAGCTAGCGCCTGGTAGGAGGGCCCTGGGGTTGGAGGGATCTGTTATTTTTCCGTTGAATTTTCCTCAGTGGTTCTTTGTCCGACAGGTGTCTTACTGTTGATTTGCACTACTTTGGTCTCAGCTTAAAGGGTGGCTGTTTGCTTGTATGGGAACTTTCACCCACTCTTATAGAAGGAAGTGTTCTGACTACCAGGTATGTCTTGGGTAGCAGGTGCTTTCTTAGGTCTCTGTGGTCCCCTGGGCACTGTGATCAAATCATTGCCAAGAAAGCCGTGTTGATTAGCACATTAACTCTTTGTTAAGCATCTCTTTCAGTTCCTGAATGGCTTCCCAGATTTCTTCTTCCCTTTTCTCTTTACCATAGGTGGTTGATAGTTTGTTTTTAAAGCAAGGACATTCAGCACTGCATGCAGCATTTATTTCTGCATTGTTATGTAAAAATACCACAGTCACTGAATAGGTAGAGGGGGTAGTCTGGTCCATTTCTACTGGTATGTATTAGCATTTAGCCTGTTTTGACATTGGAAATTCAGGTAATGTTGCTTGCTTGGTAATTAAAGTCTCCTTTATTCAGTGTCATCATAGTTTCCTATTATGAATATGCAGCATGGGTTTCTTCCTGCTAAATCACAGTTCTGTGCCTAAACCAGCCTCAAAATATTGCTTTGGCAACTTGATTTGCTAAGATGCAAATGTTTGCAAGTGTTCAGGGAGGGGAGTTATGCCCTGAAAATCATAGCCCGCCCTTAGATTTGCCAGTTCTGGCTTGATTTGCCTAATTTTAACTTTTGTCGGTTTGTGCTATAGATGAATTTATGTGCTCCCAATGTGACAAATGTCCTGTTTCTATAAAAGGGGAGAAAGTGTTCTGTACTGAATGAGTGCGGTGCAGAGGAGGATCATGTCCCCTTTGGCAGAGGAGGGAAAGAACAAATTCATGTTTAAACCCATGAAGGTTCTTCACTAACCTAGCAGTAAGAAAATTACAAGTTGAAGGGCTCTCGTAGCTGTCATGTTGTACTGAGCCAGCCTAATCTACTTATGCAAGTTCCCTGCCAGTGTGCTAGGATTAAATCTGAGTTACTGTGGTACTGAAAACACTAATTTACTTGCTATTCCAGTACAGCTTGGCTTTTCCTAAAACTCGTTAATTAAAACATTAAACGCTTCTGTATTGGTCACCACATTTACAGTGATTGGAAAGTATAAAGCATGATGCTTAGGAAAGTATAAAGTGCTGTACAAACATTACAATTAAGATAATAAAGTCTCTAATCCTGGCTAGCACTAGTCTTGGTTTTGTTGGTCTTTTCTAATTTATGTAAAATATAGCTGTGTTTTCAGGAGCTTGCCAATATGGGTATGCTTTCAAGAATAGCTACTAAGGATTAACTATTCATGCAGATGCTTTCTGTTGATGAGCAGTGGTGTTGGGTTTTCCCTTTCCTTACTGCAGGTAAGTAGCCAAGTACTGCAGCAGCCATGGGGAACCCTTTTGTAATTGGAGGTAAGAAAATGCACATGAAGTGTCAGTTGAGAAACCCATGGGGCTTCACCCTCTCTAGGCAAGGGGTCGCAGGATGAAGGCGGCCTGGGGAGAGAAGGGAGGAAAGGCAGAGAACTGCCAGGTTGGGAGGTGCTGCCAAAAAGCCAGAGCTGCTCACGCTTGAAAACACATTGTGGGGAGCTGTGGTTTTTCATATCCGGAGCTGGACGTGGCTTGGGAGTGCAACTCTGAGCTCTGATAGTGGGTTAGAGGCAATATGTCGTCAGCGGAAATCTTCCTTTAACCCCTCTGTCTTGGAACCCATGCTCTACTCTGGCATTTCAGTGACTTCTTAGGTACCATCAGGCCTGGTGAGCAGGCTTTGCTAATTAATAGCCAACATTTTAAGTGGGTTCTGTGTCAAATACTGTCAAAGTTAGAGAGGCAGAAGGAAAAGCAGAAATCAGTGGAAGCCTTCAAGGCTTCTGCTGTGAGTCAAACGCAAGAAAGGGCATCTGTACAGTATGGTGTAGTTAATCTGGCCCGAGCCCCAGCACTAGCCTACAGAGGCAGCAGGAAGGAGAAACCTTTACCCAGTTAACACTGCTAACTTCAGAGAGAAGTACTTTTTTTAATTCACAGGCAAGCAGTTGATCTCCAGCAAATTTATAGACCTTATTTCTCATCTTTTTAGCCCATTAACACCTCTTGACAGAATGAGGTGTGTTGGTTTGGAGAAGAAACTTCAGGGACATAAGAGCTATCTGCTTAAATGTCTCCCATACCACTGCCCTGGACATGCTCAGTTTTCTGAACGCTTCTAAGTTGTATTCATTAATATGTTATGGTGTCACTGATTTTGGAACTTGGGCACTTTATTTTCCACCAAACTTGTATCAGTCTGTATCTTACTACTCTGGTTAAACCATTTCACTTTTCCTGTGTTCTTAGTATAGCAGCTTTGTATTTTAACTTAGTGGATATTTTTATTCTTTTTTTTTTTTTTTTTAAGTCATTGTAACCTTTTGTGGTTAGTTTAATGACGTGTGCCTCCTGATTTTTAACCCATCAACTGATGTCAGATCTCTGGATCCAGCACTTTAGCAGATATACACATTTGGAAACTTCCAGAATGAGTCACAGAATCACAGACTGGTTTGGCCGGAAGGCACTGTAAAGATAATTCAGTTTCAACCCCCTGCCGTTGGCATCGACACCTTCCACTACAGCAGGTTGCTCAAAGCCCTGTCCAACCTGGCCTTGAACATTGCCAGGGAGGGGGCAGCCACAGCTTCTTTCAGCAACCTGTGCCAGCGCCACAGCACCCTCACAGGGAAGAACTTCTTCCTAATATTTGATCTAAATCTACCCTCTTTCCGATTAAAACCATTTCCCCCTTGTTCTATCCCTATATGCCCTTGTAAAAAGTCCTTCTTCAGCTTTCTTGTCGCCCCTTTCGATACTGGTAGGCTGTAAGGTCTCCCCTGAGCCTTTTCTTCTCCAGGCTGAACAAGCCCGACTCAGTCTCTCTGAGAGGTGCTCCATCACTTTGATCATCTTTGTGGCCTCCTCTGGACTTACTCCAACAAGTCCCTATCCTTCTTACGTTGGGGTGCAGAATTGGACGCAGTACTGCTGGTGGGGTCTCACAAGAGATTAGAGGGAGAGAATCACCTCCCTTGACTGCTGACCATACTCCTTTGATGCAGGATACAGCTGGCTTTTTGGGCTGTAGGTGCACAGTGCCGGCTCATGTTGATCTTCTCATCAACCAACACCCTCAAGTCCTCCTCCTCAGAGCTGCTCTTGATCCATCCTTCTCCTAGCCTGTATTTGTGCTTGGGATTGTCACGACCTGTCTGCAGGACCTTGCATTTGGCCTTGTGGTGCTTCATGAGGTTTGCATGGGCCCACCTCTTGAACCTATCAAGGCCCCTCTGGATGACATCCCTTCCCTCTAGAGTGTCAGCCACACCACAAGTGGTTAATTCTTATCACTGTCCCCAGTACTATGCACCTCTTGCTTTTTCCTTCTTCGTAAGATGCATAGTCAGTGTATCCTGGGTATTATATCTCTGAAGGAGCAAAAGCAGATCTAGTTCTTTAGATGGGTTTCTGAAATGTAACTCATCTCTGGGTTAAATATCTTGAACATCTTCAATGAGGGTAAAAACTTATATAGATGTTTGCTAGCCCCTCTTATCATCTGTTCCCTCATCTCTGTGCTGCTGTCACCTCTGCAGTGCCTGGGGTTGGAGACCAGGGACTGGTTGGGCAGGAGCCAGGTGCTCTCTAAGCACCGGGCTGATGTGCAGAGCCCAAGTGCATTCCTGATGAGTGTAGCAGCTTACTCTTTGACCTGTATGTGATTTTACTGATTGATTTATTTATTTTTAAGCGGTGGCACTGTTTCTTTAGACAGCTCCTTATAAAATACTTTATGTAGGAAGCGGAGATTGTCCCTTTGTATCAGGTATGGATATACAATATAGAAAGCCATACTTTAACACCTTGGCAGCAACCTGTATTTCAGTAACGCTTCCCTTGTGCCTGCTGGTAAGAGTGTGCTGTAAGGGTGCTGCTGTTTGACTTGAGCCACACCATCCCCCTTGGGCTTTCCAAGTGTCTGGCAAGTGGTAATACTAAATCTTGCAGCGTAAATAGACACGACCCAACTCTATAGATAAGAAATCAACACAGAGGTTAATTGCAGTCCCATGCTCATCTGAAAGCAGGCAGCTACAGTTACTTGTTAGCAGTGGCTGGAGTGGTTGCAAATGGCATCTGTTGCTGCACCTCTCTGGCTATAGGCAGGTGTGAACAGGAAATCTGGAGCATGGGAAGGAGGATTCTACAGCTCCCTGTGTGAGCTGTTTGTTTCTGCTATGGCATTGTTTGTGCCGGCTCCAAAGTGGGAATCAGGATTGCTGCTAAGCCAGCAGCTTCTGCTCCTCACTGGGGCCAGCAGTGTTGGCGGAGTGCTGTGTGGGTGTGTGTTGCTTTTGGGATTGGAAATAGCATTTCTTCTTGGCGCTGTATTGAGCAAGCCTAGGTGGGGAGTTGATGCCAGGTGAATGCTGTGCAGTACTTGCCTGCAGAGTGCTAATTTGCCTGTGTAGACAAATTCTGAGGCTTAAACACAGCATCTGTTCAGCTCGAGCAGGAAAACAGATGTTTAGCAGGAATTTCCACACTGGTTTACCTTAAAAGTACAAATCATTCCCAGCAGTGAAAATACTTCCCAACAGTGCAAATACGTTGCTTTCAGTGAGCTTTTTGCACATGTTTTTTAAAATGTAGGAAATGTCTCTTAATTGTCTTGTAGATTAGTTGAGTTTATGTATGTGTGTAATTTAAGATGTCATGGTTGAATGTATACAAGCTGACTTTTGAAAGCAATACAGTTCCTGTATGCTTCCAGGGCTCTAACAGGGGATGGGAGAATGGTAAATAAATCACTTTTTGTCTTGAGATAATTCCTGTAATCTAGCACTTTGATTTTCACCATAAGGTGCTGGAGAAGCTCCTGTAATTCATGTTGGCAGACTTTTATACCTTGTGGGGACTGCATGCAGTGCCTGAACAACCACTACCCAGGAGATGCCTTCACCCACCATTTCCCCTGCTGTCTGAAAATGCCGACTTTATGAGAGAGAGAGAGCATCCCCTGCCTTCTGCCATGTGGGATTGGGGCTTTTTCTGTGCTCACTTCGTGAAGGTAGTGCTTGTCACTGCTCTTCCTAACCAATCAAATTGCTCTTCAGTTTCTGTGTTCTGCAGTATTTCCAGTGCTGAGTTCATTCAAGGAGTGCTGGTAAATCTGTCCACACAGTTTCCTGACTTCCCCTACTCCTGGCCTGTTAGGATCAGCTTTTGGGCACCAGTGACATCCTTCAGCAGTAACTGGGCTGTGCTGGAGGTGGGGGAGCAGGGGGACCCATTCTTTGCAGAGAGACTGTGGTGTTCAGAATTACAAATTCCATAAATGGGTTTTAAAATGTACACTATGGGGTTTCTAGTAGCTCTGTAAATATCTAGGAAAATATTACTTTGCTAGCTTCACAATTTTATGTGTAGAGTATGTTTCATTGACCATTCATTTAATGGGAAGAGGAGAGAGTAGTAGTATAAATATGCCTTTTAAATCAGCAGAAGCAAAGCTAAATGATGATGCAGCAGGACTGGTAAAGGGGGAAAAAATACCTTTTCTACAACTCCCTGAGGCTTGCAGAGGTGCATTCTGTAAACTCACATGGGAGGGATGCTGTGCATTTGATTAGCTTTCACTCATTTATTTGGGTGGTTTAATGCTGAAAAAGAGGCCTGAGAAGTTGACGCTTGCACGCTTCTCACATGCCTGTTTCTTTACTGCCCCAGAAGTAAGATGTTATATTTAAATGACAAACCAGTGTACCTCTGAGCTGTGTGTTCTGGCTTTCTTACAGGCTGGTCCAGGGACCATCATCATGGCTTCAGGAGTCCAAGATTTTAACAGAACGGAGTCTGACAGGCTGAATGAGATCAAAGGTCACCTGGAAATAGCCTTACTGGAAAAACACTTTTTACGTAAGTATGAAATTAACACTCTGTGGAAAGGAATGGCTTAAGGCTGCTGAAATAAGGATTCTTTAAATTGCAAAAGTTGGCATCAGAGTTTTGAGGTGTGCTGATGTGTGGATAGCATGTGGGCTGATGCTTCCCTGTGAGGAACTTAAAAGCATTCCCAGGGTTTCTGGGTCACTCGGATATTATTTTTCCTCATTGCATTCTTCACAACGTACCTCACTACATGACAAAAGTTGCTTAGTTGAAGTCTTGATGTTGACATCTGCACATTGTCTTAGAATTAACTCAATGTGGTTGCAACAGGTGTAGTAATTTTAAGAAGATATTTCTGAAGGGCGACCAGTGCTTTTCTGTGGCAGCATATTTCAACAGTAATATGTCTTAAAACACGTCTCTTACCAGTTTATGAATTACTGGTAAGTGGTGTAACAAATACAGATAAGAGTATCTGTAGATTTCAAGTATTTGGGTTTATGTGTGTGTGTATCTTAAGAGTCAAAATTGTCATTCACAGCTTGAGGCACCTGCGGGACTTTTGGGATTTTATCTCTGCAGATCTGAACTGCTGACATGTAAGACAGGATAGTTGAAACCAGAAACACTGAAGGCAAACATTCCTTTAACTTGATAGAAGTAGAGATCTCTGCAATAAATCAGTGAGAATTCTTGCTCAGTTGCTTCCCAGAATTGTAATTTTAATGGCTTATTTTTGAACTTCACAATATGGGGGTTGTTTTTATTATGTTCAAAGCTTGTCAGATGTTTTCTAAGGGATAGAAATAACAAGGCTATAGATACTATTTAATTTTGAGATTACAGTGTAACAGCAAGACTTGTTTATTCAGCGTATTCTCAAGGATTTGGAATTAATTTTCTGTGGCTTGTTTGTCATTTGACAGTATTATTTTGACTTTTTTTCCCCCTGTGTGTATGAGAGGGAGGTATGATAAAGGAAACTGGGCAAGAATTTATAGTGAGCTGCTGTCAGCTTCCAGTGATAACTGGAAGAGGTACCACGATTGGAATATCAAGCAAAAACTGAAGGCTCTTGCCTTCACTTGCATTGTTGTTTTAAGTGATTTGTATGAATTCTTATTTAACTGTGCAGTACAGAGTTACCATGTATACTTCCATCCCCAAAGACATACTGCTTAAGCTCTTGTCACCAAGTTGTTTTCCAAGCAAGGTGGGACATTTGTGATTTCCTGGTACAGTATGATACGTAACAGAAACAGTAAGACTTCCCAGAACTGACTTCTGGTTTGAACTAGGATGTGCTTTTTGCTATAAAAACATGATAGGGTTCCCAAACACTCCCATGGTTGGTGAACCCATTCTCAGTCCTTAGTATATGCTTAGAGGAACTGCGTGGGGCACACATTTTTGTGAATATTTTTAGTCTTCAGGTTTTTACTGTAGTTTGAAAAACCTGATCAGCGGCTACCATTTTTAGCTGAATCTTTTTCCTTTGCACAGGCCTTTGTAGCAACCTGTGAGGTAAAGGGTAATGGAGCTCACCGTTCCACATGAACTCTGAGCAGATGGTTGGAGATTCAGGCCAGTGGGGTCATTCAGCTGGGTTGCATGGGTCAGCCTTACTGCTACATCCAGTGCTCCTCACTAAACTTGAGGTTTGCTGTAGCTACACTTAGAGAGTTGTTCTGACAAGTCAGTTATAATTCTGTATGCAAAAACACAAGAAAGAATGATAAACTGGTAGAGAAGTAAGAGCAGTAAAGCTTATCCCTCTTCCCCTACACCATATTCAAAATTTTAGGCTGAAATATTTAACTATGTTTGTCAGTTGGAGTGAAGTAGGTGCTCACCTTTTGGATATGCCTCTTGTATTGTTCTATTTTCTTCCTCCTTCTCTTTGAATTAATGTTGGTGGGGTTTTTTTTGTTTTGTTTTAATGTTAGCAATGCTTGGTTGGTTTGTTTGGGTTTTTTTTCCCCCAAAAAGTGAGCTAATGGAGAGCAGAAAAATGTTCCTGAAACTTGCAATTTGTTTCATTTCCTTGGAGAAAAGCCTGATCATTATTTTTAAATTCAACTGCTATAGTAGGTGTGTTTAAGAAGGCTGGTCACTCAGCTGTATTTGCATGCTATTTTTAATTATGGAATTCCTTAAGGGCACCTTGCTGTAACTGCATTTTTGCATAAACCGTTTACCACTTCCTCTTACTCCATTTCCTCCAGCTAGCTGTGCAAAAAATCAGAGCAACTGCTAGTATGTGGGGGCAATATTTAAAGATCCATGGATTTACTTTGTAAGATGTTAAGTTTCTAATAATTATCAGCTTGTTCCTGACTTTATTTTTGCCTCTTTTATACCTCTTATTTGTATTGGTGTCTTATTGTCCAGGAGGCTTAAGGAGGAGAGATTTCCTCCCAGGTGTACATTATGTATAATGTACACATACACAATGCAGTTACAAGTTAGTGTGGGTCTGTAGTTGCAGGTGCCTGGCTAAAGGAAGAACGAACTGCTAGTCTTCTCTAGTCTCCATTCAGCCATTAGCAGGCACAAGTAAAAGATGCAGTTTGGCTGAGTAGTAGTTTCAGTGAAACACATCCTAGGCCTAGCTGTAGCCCCTACAAGCTGCAGAGGAGATCTGGAGCAAATAGTGACTGGAGAAAAACAGTTTGTCTCCAGTAAAGTGAAAATATCCCTATTTGAGATGCCAGATGAATCTCTTCTTTAGCAAAGATGATCTAAACACCCAGAGGAGTGAAGATGGAGAGGAATAGCTTAATGTGTTGAATGGCTGTAAAGGCAAATAGAATGTTACTGGAAATGTGAGGGGTTTAAGCTGCAGAATGTCAGGAGGATGAGGCACATGGAGGAAGGGATCTTGGATAATGATGTCTTAAGCAAGGGAGGGATCATCTAACTCTTCCAGCCAAAAGGTCTGGTTGCTTTTCCTGTCTGTGCAGGAATGGTCTTAATCTCTGTGATCTAATGGCTCCTTATTATGGGAATGCTATAGATCTAGTGAGACTGCGATATTGGGGTGGGTTCCTGCAGCATGAGACTTGAACACCTGCTGAATGGAAAGTGCACAGGGCTTGGTTTGCTGGACCTCTGAATGTACATGGGCAAAAAATGCTTTGTTTTGGAGCTGTTGTCATCAGAGTCATCCATTTCTGAAGGACTTTGCCCATTACTGTAAGCTTGTTTTTAATGCACATGAATACTGCCTTGATCAAGGTTTAGGTTGGGAAGGCAACTACTGAACAAGGGCAGCTAGGGTTAGTAGTGGATTTAGTGCTTCAAAACCTAGTTGTAGCTAAACAAGAAACAAAAATTTGTTTGCTGCTTTTCCATTTGAAAAACAAAACAATAGCCAGTATATTTCTGGGTTTGCACCTTGTTGAGGTAAACAACCTGTTTTTGTTCGCATTACTTCCAGTGCTTGCTTATGGAGGGCAGTTTTGCAGGTGTCAGCGCTCTGGTCTTGATGCTTTGTAAGCAGGTGTACATCCTGTGGTTTCATGAAGTATTAGGTAATTCTCGTTCAAGGTTTTCAAGCCTTTTTCAATGCTAGTTTTAGCAGTTCAGGGAGGAGGAGTTAGTTTTAATAGCAGCTAATAGTAAACAAACTAGGTGATTGTTAAGAGAAGGTTAGTCATGAACTGGTAAATCAAAGAAAGGCTGCTTGAGGATGAATAGCTTTAGGAGGAAACAAAGGCCTCTCCCACAAAGGTTTTGCATTCCATTCTGTACAGCAGGCTATGGTAGGAGTCTCGAGGGGTTTGCAAAACTGCTGGGTTTGGTTATGATCTTTATTCCAGCACTGCAAGAGAAGTTGGGACTGTGCTTCTTTCCCATTGAAATTTCTGCTCCCACACTTTCCATTCTCGTATGTCTTTTAAAACCAAGTGTGTGACTAACTTCACAGTGGTATCAATGACTGATGATTCTTTGTAGGAAGAGCGACCTAGCAGAATACAGAGCTCACGGAAGCAGAGCTCTAAAAAACCATACATGGTCCTTGACAGATTTGGGATGCTAGAAAGTTCACCTTAGAGGTGAACTGTGTGGTGGTGGTTGTGACCAGCAAAAGACCTGTATTAGAGAGTTCTGTTCTGTACAGAAATGTCAATACCTCCTTGAACAGTCACAGTAATTGTATGTAATAAATTGACTGAAGCTGAGTCAGGGTCTAATTTCCAGCTGTGTTACAAAACCCTTGGTGTGCTTTCTCCTGACATGAGGGTCAGACACTTGCTGCAGGAGCAGAGCTAGGGGAGGGCAGAGGAACAGACTCAACTGCATCAGTGTTGCTGTCTTGTTACTGGCCTGACAGCCTTTGTCACCTTTGGCTCAGAAATCTTGAAGCAGAATAAAGAGCTGATTTATGTAACAGGTGAAGACCCTACTGAAAGAGCAAGTAGTTGTGTTTATATGAGGTGCCCAGATACCAGCTGTGGGCCATAGTAGCCATTCCTTGCTAGATGGTCAGCCCTAGCCAAGGGATCCTGATGCTGCCACACAGGATCCTAAATAAAGCATGCTGATGCTGGTGAGCATGAGGCTGCTGTGGTAGTGGAACTGCCCTTGCTTTTTCATACCCTTTACTCATCCCCCTGTAACCCTCCTTTCTTTCAGGTTAAAATCCTGGACTCTCAGGCACTAATAGGGTCCCTGGGAAATCTGCACACATCCCTTGAGCATGTGGAGTCCCTCGTGATGAGGACTGTGGTTTGTGTATAGTGACTGGTGTAATCTTCTTGGACATTTTCCTTGGGCACCCAGAGATGTTCCAGTAAGAAGAGCTGAACCCAGGTCCTTTCCAACCCTAACTATTCTGTGATTCTATTCTGTGATTCTATTCTATGATTCTATGATCACATGCGGTCACACCTCTTTTTATGGGACCGATTAACCAAAGCACAGCACTGCACTGACAGAGATGTATTGTTACAGCTCCTCCACCAGCTTGATGCAGCCTATGAATTGTGTTACGTAGGTGGGGTAAATTCTGCCTTTTCTGCATG